TATTAGTCAATCACTAAGATTATAGAATATAGAATATAATCTACATATAGCAATTAATAAAAACTACAATATACCCTGTGCGATATGCATTTAACGACCAAAATCCACTTGTACCACAGAAGGTTGACTTTGACCGTGCTCCTACTCCAAACATTGAGAACATTAAGCAGCCAAGTCGATGAACTGTACTTTTCATGCGCATTATTAAGAAACCAATAACATTCTATGCAGGTCTCAGAAAAAAGAAATATGGTCAAATATCTGAACTTTTCATCCAATATAAACTCTTCATGACTTCAATAATTTGCAGCCATATTTTTTTAAATTATTGCTGAATCTCAATCAAATCAAAAGACTGGCACTAGCATTTGATTGGTCATTCCAGATCCAGTGATCCAGTCGCCGCCATATTTTGTTTTTCAAAACAGATAAAAATATTCCTTGGCCTTGAAAATAAGAAAATTACCAGTATTCCATGTATTTGTGAACAGTGCGGTTTCATTTTTTTGAGTTGTGAACAGTTAAGTTTTTAGTACTTGTTTTGAAATAGTCATGGCTTCCGTTGTTGACTTAGATATGGAAAACCTGCAATTGAAAGCACAGATTCAAGCGCTGAAGTTGGAATTGGAAGATAAACAAAGTCAAATGACATTGTCTGGCAAGCTGGGAAATGAGTTGTTGCAAAGTAACAATGAACTGAATCGTAATCTTGAAGAGATCCAAGAATTACATTTGCAAGAGATGGAGGTATATTGACACCTACGAAGTGTATATATCTTTCTATTGAATTTACCATGCTTTATGTATTATTTGTTAATTATTTATATATAAAACATAAACGTCCAAAATGAAATAGCTGACCAATATACCATTGTTGTTGGTCGCACAAAAGCACCTATAAAACTTTCTTTATGTCTGGTTAGCAACTTTGAATTTAATCTCAAGTTCGTTTTGGCTATGTTACACGAGGCATCTTTTCTGGAATGTGCAATGTAATTTCAGACACAGAGCCATATATAAAAATATATCATTCAGCTATGCAGTGGTTATTTGTAAAGAGTTTTCCTTTTTCTTTAAAAACATACTGTTAAGATATGGACCAGATGATCCAGCGTAATACCAGCTAGTATTAGCACTGTATAATGCACAAGTCAATTCCTGGAGTAACCATCCCCCCCCCCGGGACACCCCCGGGAATTTGCCCGATAGACAGTTCACGGGGGTCGGGAATTTGCCTTTCATATATGTGCACGGGGGCCGGGTATTGGAGGACCCCGGGGATTTGACAAATGGTTGCCCAGAATCCCACCCACAAATTTTAAGGCAGCTAAACATAGTTTCAGGCAAGCATGTGGGCGCGCTGATAGACATAGTCCCACTGATTTTTTTGAAAGAATACTGTACGTTATTCACAGTTTATATAATTAATGTACAGTAAGACAACTGTATGCTTTTCCTTTGTCTGCACGCGAGTACCTGTATGTTGAAGCCAAAATATTTGCACACAGTAATTATAATTCTATAGCCATTTACCCTTGCCTTTTATACCTTGCCCATTGAATGCAAAATAATGATAGCAGATAAGGTTTCGCAAAGTATTTTTTTAATGCATCTAGTATAAAGTGACTCTACACTTTGTCAAGGAAAAATACATAATTTATAAACTGTGTACGTGCACACGGTCTCATGCAGACATAGTGATTACTTGATGAGTTTAATATGTTTATACCTTTTAAAATTTCCGTTCATGATATTGGCTGTATGGCTTTATGTCATCTTTAGATGAAACTTCTAAAATGTCCATCACAGTGTACGATAAAGATTAAAATTGATATAAATATTGATGACCCACAGCAACATGATACAAGTCGAAAGAAGCTGGATTTTGAATTGGATTATTCTGCAAATAAAGGCTAATGATAATGCCAATAAGATATCTTAAATATTTATAATGTGCATGCTGTATGATTTATATATAATGTACATGATTTCAATTTAGCCCACGAAATCTGGGGGCTACGTGACAATTTAGCCCGTGAAATCTGGGGGCTCAGACCAGGGTTTTCTTCCATAAACTACTCTTCAGCGGTGTATTCGTTACGGTGGTTGATTTTATCACTTTCATGTATATTATAGGAGTTGCGTCAAGAAAACTACAGTCTCCGAATGAAAATTGACCAAGAAAAACTCGCAAAGAAAAATTTTGCAAATGAAATGGAAACAACCAAGGAGAAACTACAGCAAAACATGAAACAAGAGCTTGCTCGTCAAGAAAATGTTCATGAAAAGAAAGTTGAAGAACTTCGAGCTGAGACTGAGTCTTTGCATTCTGCACTTGAAAAGAATTCTCTAGTCAATGAACAACTTCACACAAAAATTTTGAAACAGGAGGAAATGTTAGCTGAGGCACACAGATATTCAAAACAAATACAAGGAATGGGTGCGTTGGAAACTCAACTGGAAGATATGAAAGAGGAATGTACGTTAATGAGATTAAAGAAAGAAGAACTGAAGATCGCTGTTGATGATGTTAATGCTGAGAAAGAACAACTAGTGTTTGATAAGCAAAATTTAGTGCAGAAAATTGAGATGTTGAAAGAAAATCTGGAGGAAACTTCAAGTCAAGGCAAAATATGGTTTGATACCTTGCAGGTAATAAGGGATATTATTATAAATGTTAATTGTTTTTACTTTTAGCATGATTCCAAGATTGTTAAAACTTAAATTCTGCATGAGTGAGTAAACCTTCATTAATTCCATCTATATAAGTATTGGTGCTGTATATGTGTAGCACACTGCCACGATAGTCTCTTGCCCACAGGAATACAATATATATTCATGTCGGTATCTCACCTCCTATGTGACACAGTGACATACTGTAATGAAGAAATTTCATTGTCACAATAATGTAGTAAAGGAGAGAATTCGTTTCCCTCAAGTTAAAACAACAGGCAATTCGCTGCGTTACAGATCAACAAATCAAAAATAAGACAGTAAACAACGTACAAAGATAACCGCATTGACGTTCTAATCATGTATAAACAGTTCAACATTAACGGAAAGTACTCCAAGAACAACATAGATTTTAGCCTCACATTGCCTTTGTATACAACTACCCCCTCCACAGTTTCGCATGCAGCGGGCGCAGGAAGTCAGAAAGCGAACACTCAGGCGCCACAAGGAATGCGAAAAGTCTTTGATAAATTTTTCTTTTAAAATGGCAGAAGAACAAACTGTCATTAATGATCCAAGCATAGCAAGTATAACGATACGTGAAAGAACAGCCCGAAAATAAGTGGAACGCACGACACATTATTGTGGGAGAATGAGATCAGGGTGAAGTTCACCAATTATATGCATTAAACTCTGATCAACCCAAAGACTCATTAAGCCTTATGTTTTCATCCCGCATGGGTATGTATAATAAGACCTGCTAGGAGAGACTGAATCCCCTACAGGTCATAATTAGAAAATTGTTCTATAGTCCTTGAATAATCGTTCTTGAATAGTCCTCACATAACATAGCTAGTATGTACGACGCAGTCCACCAGACCGGTTACTGACACAAGGAACATGAACGGGTGGGTGGGTGGAAATTTTCTTTCTCGTTACTCTCGATTTCAATTTGCTTTTCAAAACTGACTTCCAATGTTTACTTGTAAATTCGAAATGTTCGTTGTAAAGTTCCGAAGTTTGTTTCGAAGTTCGTTCCGATGATTTACGATAATCAAGTTTAGTAAGTTGTAATTGGCTAGTTAAGTGAACCAGCCAATTAAATCGCTTGCTATTGAATCATCGTAAATCATCGTAACGAACTTCGAAACCAACTTCGGAACTTTACAACGAACATTCCGAATTTACAAGTAAACATTGGAAGTCAGTTTTGAAAAGCAAATTGAAATCGAGAGTAACAAGACATGGTTGATTGTTTGGATATTTGTCAAACTGAAAACTTCAAAGTGAAAGCCTTTGTCAATGGCTTTTGGTCTGCGTGTTCGTTGTTGACATGATGATTGGTCAGTTAGTCTTTCATTCTGTTTACACGACTCTCCCTTACGAAATTATCACCAGGTTTGAAAGTGACAAACGTGTTGTCTCATTAACTTTAATTTTATTTATATAATTATTGTTATATATAAAATTGCTTTAACTACTCTCATCTGCCATCGTTGCATAATCGTCTCGCCTGCACGTTCGATCTCCTTACTATAATTGCATCAGCTTTGGTCGTACTGATGATTTTAATTTTCTAATATTCTTTCCCAATCTACAGAGCTCTCGTCAGCAGCTTTCTGAACTTCAATTGGAAAATTCTACTTTGAAAGCTGAAGCTATGAATAGATCGCATAAAGAGAAAGGGAACTCTTTATTTGGCGAGGTACCTGTGCTGACTATATAATTATAAACATGATGTATGGTTTTTATTGTTCAGCAAAACGATGAATATGTGAATCTAAATTTTGACAATTTACTCTCTTTTTTTTCAGGTGGAAGATAGAAGATTGGAACTTGAACAACAAAATACCGCACTAAGTGCGAAATATAGATCTCTGTCCACGACACATAAAATCACGAAGAAACAACTTATTGAACTGAAGGTGAAATTGATTGTATTTTTATTTCAGATATATACAGTTGTCATTGTGTACAAAATCTTGTACGCCATCACAATAAAATTGGCGATTTGGACGATCATCTGGTTTTATATGAGGTTACGTATAGGAGGTCAAGGGTCTGTGCTAATGGTAAAGGACGGTTTTTATATTGATTGTATTGTTTTGTAATGGCTTTTATAAAATAGTTGAAGAACTCATTGACGTTTGATGCGCTGACAGCTATTTTGTTTCTTTGTTGTTTTAGTGGACCTCAGTTCAATGATTGACCCCCACTTGAGTAAAATTATGCTAAAACATCACTTGATTGAAATCCAAGAATATATGCATGATAAAGGCTTTGTAAAAAAACTTGGTAGTTACTGTAGTTTAATAAACTTTTTCGTCGCGAACGCCCTGGGGACGAAGTTGAATAATTATTATAATATCAGTTCGCTATGAATAGATAAAATTTATATCTCTCCGTGAAAGCATTTTGTTGTAACGGCTGTTAGACTAGACTAAGTATAGAATCCAGCTGATAGTTTCCAGAAATATTATACACTTAATGTCTACTCCCGAGGGAAATAGTTTTCCGGAGAGTTTCAATGTTTCTCGAGACGAAGTCGAGGAAAAGATTGAGATTAGAGGAATCGAGGCGAAACAAAACGAACCATTTCCCGAGGGAACATAAATTAAGTGTTTAGTTATATAGCGACGAAAGGAAAATCAACAACTTTCATACGATGAAAAAACTCGTGACAAAAACTCATTCATAACAAAAACTATATATAATGCAAACGAGTTTAAAATTAAAAGAGCTTACTTAAACGGTTTCAGCAGCATATCCTGTTGTGTAATTTCTCTCCCTTTTTACATTCTTTATTTTAACATAAACTTGGAAAATCGTAGTTTATAAACTTGCGAGTTGTGCCGCCATTTTGTTTATTTATGTATATTGGTAAGACTGACAGAACGCTACTGGAACGGGTCAAGGAACATGCTTGCAAAGACATGGGAATTGCTGTGAACAAACATTTATAATAACATTTATAATAAACTCTTGATACGTAAACAGAAAAACAGTATTGACCAACGGCAACTTGAACGTTAATTCACTTTGATTGCTTAAGCAATTGCGCACGCACGTTTATTTTAAATTTGTATATAATGCAAGTTGTTTACACACTTCTGTGTTTTGTCTTATAGTATTTCTGATATATTTAGACTCACATATTGCCGATGCTGACCATGGCTGGCAATCAGGCTGACAGTTCGAAAATTAAAAGACTTGAAGCTGCTCTCATTCAGAGTAAAAGTGAAATTCAAAGCCTGTATGTTAAAATAGAGGAGTTGGAAAAAGAGAAGGTACCGTTAATAATGACTTTCACTATATTAAATATTGTACATACAGCTGCACTGAGAGTAGATATACCAGTTGTCCCCCGTACCCGTACGTACCCGTCCCATGTGCCCGTACGTTGAGCGGAATATACTAATGAGCTTGACGTCATAATTTCCCCGCCGTCAGTAGTTTTTTACGCGCGTGCGTGCAGAGGCGTTTTGGCATATGACGTCATTTGGCGGGGAAATTATGACGTCAACCTCGTTAGTATATTAGTATATAACGTCAGATACATGCAGAGATTTTTTGAATTTTTTTTTTAAATCCTCAATTTTTTCTGTTAAAATATATCTTTTGAAAATTCAAAAGAGAGATAAATGTGGTTTAAAGAATACGAAAATGAATACATTTTTGTTGCATGCCATATATGGCATGCAACTATCATATAGCTTAAAATTCGTGTCCGTTGGTAAGCCTCTGCGGAGGAGAGAGTGGGACGAGCATAATAACAATAAGCATAATTAGTCGCTGGGGCACAGCTCGCAGCGACTCTAGGTTTCGGCACGCATTTGTGTCGGATCTTGGATCGTTAGCCACAAAATGAACATTACGTCATTGATAAAAAATAAAATTACGTCATTACTATTCGTCGCTGAATTCAAGATGGCCGCTTACTCCGAGCGAATAGTATCAATTTCATTGATTTTGTACATTGAAAGTTTTCCCATGAAGCAGACTTTATAAAGCGAAAGTCATTTTATGTGAGTAAACTTGGAAGGCTACAAGCTTGAAATAGAGGACAAAAGTTCACAATTTTCAATTGGAACAGGCCCGAACGGCAACCTTAAATTGGAAATCGTAACAATAATACTCGCAAACTGCTGTTTATTTGGGTGCTTTTTTTACGGCTGTTGATGCAAATAATCCTGTTACGGATAGGCGGTCAAAAGAACATGGTGTAGCCTAACAAGACCGAAATACAACCACAGTGATCATCATTCATCAGTCATCACTACTTGTGTGAAATTTAAACTTTGTCTTTGCCACTAGGTGTCAGGCTTTTAAATCTGTAATATTTCAGTCATTTTATGATCAATGTATTGTGTTTCGAACGCCGAACGGGGAAATGTTGGGGCCACAGTAATAGACTCTTTCAAGTTTCAACGTCAAGATGCCATAATGAATTGAAACACAAAGTTCAAGGGCTGCAAACACAATGAAATTTCCTATACCGGGTGGCCCAAAAAAAAGTACTCCTGTTTGATTCGTAATAACATCTAAACAAGTATAGCTTTTAAAGAGAAATAACTTGCATCAAATAGAGGAAGGACTAACTTAGACTTTGATATATTACAGTTGTATTTCACTTAAAAATTCACGGAGATATTAATCTTTAAATTCGGGAGGATATTTCTGGATGTGTCTGAAATATGCAAAAATCGGCGTATCAAATATTAATCAAGATTTGCCCGACTGAAACATGCACTATTACCAGTAAATAAATGACACTTGACAAATTGTTTATTATGAAACAAAGTATTATTATATCTACAAAATACAAGCAAGATTCATTCGTCCGAAATTCGCGTGTGTTCCTAGCACGAATACGTTTCCTTATTTCATGAGACCACTGCATCGCGAAGGATCGTCATTGGATCGTTCGTAGTTCTGAATTAGGGCATGCTGTCACAACGGAATTGTGAAGCTCTTCTAACTTCTGCAACGTTCTGAAATCTTGTTAAGAACACCTAAACTCTTTTGCCGTTTCTTAATCTTGGCAAGTTCATGGAGTAAACTGAGAATTATATGAAACACAATCAAACCATACAACTCCATAAGACATAACAATTAAGCAACTCCCCAGAGACATGCAACATTTTTGGAACAAAACGTAACAAAATAGTAGCGTTGATACGGTGATGTGTATTTGCAAAAAGCAATATTATTTCCTTCAATAAAGAATATTCATCCTGCTCTAACCGAGAAATAATCTACTCAGTCTGTTTGAACCCATTAAAAACATAAAAAAATTAGGCTATTTAAGAATACGAAAAATTTAAGCGCCTGCCTTCCATGGTCAGTCTTTCATGTACATTTAAGTTTGCAAGGACCTAATATTAAATACTTGCATAATTTCGAACGTTCATATTTCAGGAAACAATGAGCTAAGACTTACATGTAAGATGTCTAAATCTACGCCATATCCCTTACAAACCTTAACGATAATTCGCTGAAATACAAGTTAGCCTAATATGTCATTAAGCAAACAAACGCTGGAGTTAATATTTGATATGCCGATTTTCGCTAATTTTAGACACATTCCAAAATATGCTCCCCATTTTTAACATCAATATCTCCGTGAATTTTTAAGTTAAATACAACTGTAATATATCAATATCTAAGTTAGTCCTTCCTCTATTTAATGCAAGTTATTTCTCTTTAAAAACTTTACTTGTTTAGAAGTTATTACGAATCAAACAGGAGTACTTTTTTTTGGGCCACCCGGTAGGTAAATTTGCAAGGGGTATAAACACAATGGTGAAAACAATGTATAGAAATTAAGTAGGGGGGGGGGGCAATGCAACTCAATGGGTAAAAGTAACTGGCGTGTCAGGCTCTATGCTTGAAATAAAGCCTGCTACTGAGGTCAGTAAAAAGGATTGATGCACGTGATTCGTACGCAAAATTCCCATTGGTCAGAAATATATAGCTTTGTTTTTAAGGTAATGTCAAATATTATTGTTGTTTACGTAATGATATTCCGTACTTGTAATTGTACTTTAACTACTTTTGGCCATGTTAATGACTGCCTTTGCTGTCTATAAACACAGTCAATAACAGTTATTATTATTATTTAGTATGTAATTCCTGACCATTCGATGAAAATTGGAATATTTAGTTTTGAGATATTGGCGGAAAAGTTGGCCGTTATTGTCATATTTTAAATTAGCTTTGATAATCTAATGTATCAATTAATTCCAGCGGTTCCCACCCCTAGGCCTTTGCAGCTTTTCCTAATCACGGGGGTGGGGCTATTGCCGATGTTTTTTAGCCCTGGGGTGAGGATTTTGACGTTTTCCATCATGGGGGGATTTGGCAGATTTGCTGGAAAACTAATATTTAATTTGATTGCAAATGGCTTGAGGACATAGCCATTTCCTTTCCAGAAATGGCTAATACCTCTGGGGGGGGGGGGGGGGGGCGGGGGGGGG